TAATCCCATTTATCTTAAATATCCTTTCAATCATTGTCTATATGTCTTGAAATGCAAATTTGATGGCCAGGATCTTTTCTTCAAATAACATAGATGCGTGCTGTATTCTCTAGCTTGAAAGGTGTCATGCATCACATGTTTCCCTTATTGTCGCCACGTGTTTTAATCTTTTAAAATATTTCTTCAGATAGTTTGATTCCCTACATATGCTTTTATCGTTTCCTCATGTACCCCTCGTAATCCTCTATTCCCTTGTTCATTTTTTCATGTGTGTAACCTATTATTAACATCATGGTGTGGGCACAAATCTTTTACCACAAATGTTAAAAAAGAAAAGAAATCTACGATAATTCATGAGTTGGGGATTGACACTGAATATGGATATTGAGAATTATGTCCAATAGTGGAGGTCATTCATAGATATTAGATACTTAGAGAAAAATATACAAGAGAGTGATACCAATACAGTAGGTGCACAAGTAAAGTAGATGTATGGGTACCACCTTACAAGTGTACACCTATTTCAACTTGTGTGCTCCCATAATGGAAGTAATCATTGAAATCGAGAAAAATCTCACAAAAGAAAAAGAAAAGCTACTCAAATAAAACCCTTAAAGAAACAATTTGAGAATGAAAAACAAAAATTTAAAGAGGTTGGAAAATAAAAGAAAATACTAGCAATAACTAAAAAAATTCTAACACGGTGGAAATGTGCCAACCTACCTAATATGCTCTAATTGTTCGCAAATAAGTTGAGGTTAAGTTATTTTAAATTTTGAATCTTTACATGTTAGATTGGTTTTGAAAGACTAGTCCAAACCTGAACAAATTTAAATTAAATATGAATACTAAAAAAATAAAATCATAAACTATATACTCCTCTCTCATCCACATGAGACACCACTCTCTAATTTCTCATCTCTAGAGTAGCTCACATGTTGCCGTGTTTCCTCTTTTTCTTTACAAAAATGCATCATTTGACTCGTCTATGTTGCATAATCTCCTCTCTTTTTCAACCTTCTCTTCAACTCTCGGCTATGTTGTGTTGTTAACTCTCTTCTTATTCTCTTCATAAACACATTGTCAAACCAACCATATCATCTAATTCAACTACATTTCACTCCTCTCTTCTTTAGCTTTTCTTCTCTGCTCTTTTTATGTGATGTCACCTACATCATCTCATCTTTTTTAGATACCATATAGATGTAACATTCAAATAATTGGTCGATTTGATTAGAATTTTACTAATAACCTTAGATTGGTTGTAAATGGACATGCCTTTTATTGACGGTGAATTTAAATTTTAAAGAAGTCACTTCTAATTTAACTACTTATTTTTCTTAGAAATTACTCTGTATATGAAATGAAATATGTAATAAAAAAGAACATTAATAGAAAAATTTATAATTACATATTTTTTTGTTAAACTAAATTTTAAAAAAAATTAGAACACTTCTTGTTAGAGCTTAGTATATTTGTTTTATGCGAAAGTGAAGTGAAAGACATAAAAACTTCAAAGAAGTTTATATTATATATATATATATATTAGAATTGCTGGTGAAAAATGATTATTCCTATTATGATAACTATACATACTATTGATAAATAATTTAGCAATTTTATTCCCTCAATAAAAACTTTATATGTATGTTTATGAACATATATATATATATATATACACCTAATTAGGAACAAAGTTACAATAATTTACCTAAAAACTTTATATGTATGTTTATGAACATATATATATTTATATTTGTTTTGATATATTTTATTGAATTTAGTCCCTGACATAAATTCATGTCATGGATGTCATTTATATCCATTCGACATGTATATGAATACTATATTATATTTTTATAATATATAACAAAATTTTAATATAGTACATTGGTACAATTTTTATTTATGTTTTTTTATAATTTATTAATATGTTTTAAAAATATGATGAATTGTAAGTACAGTTGGTGCACCTGGGCACATTAGATTAAATTCTAACAGAAAGTAGACAATTAAAGTTACCCTATATATATTAATATTTTCTAAATTTTTATTCTTATCTTTAATATAAAACATTAAATTAAATAGTGCGATTAATTAATTAATATACTTTAGTATTTACAAAACATTAAGTACCTCCAGAAATAAGCTTTCACTAAAAGGATTAATTTTTATTTTATTATAAATTTTAAATATACCTTAAGATCGTACGGACTATATATATATATATAAAATAAAAACTCCAATGTATTTATTACTGTTATGATTGATTACTGATTGATAGAATGTCAAATCCTCGTTTAATCATGATTAAGATTGAAATCCTATTTATTGTCGAACAAAGAAACTAAAAACAGCCGCTATATATATGACAAATAAGCTCATGCCATATCTTCCTTGATCACCTTCCCATCTCTCTCCCGATAAAATCTTTTCTCTTTGCCGACGTTTAACTTCCTGAAAAAGTTTCCTCTACAATCCTCTATAATGGATGGGCAGAAAACGTTCCTACCAATTTCCAATACACATGTGTACACTGCCCTCCCATCTGGGCCTCACCCCGTCGGACCTCCGGCGACCGACCGTCGCCGACCCATTAAGGCCTTCCTTGTAACTTCCTCCGGCTTTTTAACGTTAGCCTTTTTGGTGGCCCTGATCGCCTCTTACAATGGCGACAATTTAGGTAATAATAATACTGTTATTAATAACAACGACGCCTCATTGTCGTATGTATCTATGGAACCCGCAAAGTTAATGGGACCCGTGTCACGTGGCTCGCCGGCCGGCGTGTCGGAGAAGAGTAACCGGCCGTTGTTCTTGGGATTGAAGGCGATGCCAGCTTTCCCTTGGAGCAACGATATGTTATCCTGGCAGAGAACGTCATTCCATTTTCAACCAGAGAAAAATTGGATGAATGGTATTTATAAGTAACTCTCTTTTCCCTTCTTTATTTCATTTTCAATCGGATACCACTTTCTACATGGTTCTTTTTTCACTTTCTGTTAGTGAAAAAGAAATAGGAAGGAAAAGAAGAGATGGAAATTTCTTTCTTGAGAATTTCAGAGAAAAGTCAACCCCTACAGCCAATTATAAGATTATTGAATTAAAAGAATTTGAGTAATTTTTTATTAGTTTACTTTTTTCTTTCTTACTATAAAGTTGGAAAACTGAAACGAGAGGAAGGGGTTTAAGCTGTATAGTATAAATTGTCAAAGATAAGTCAAAACATAATTTGATTTTTAGAAAGAAAGATAATTCATTTTAACTGACTTCCTCCTTTTTCTTTTCTAATTGTTGGTTGCTCGACTCTTCCTGGGCTGATTGCGGAATGTGGTTTCTTTTGCTTCAGATCCTAATGGTATCTTCTTACTTCAATTTTTTCCTTCCTAATATGTTGTCTAATTTGATTGATATTTTAACCATAACCAAAATTTGATCCGAATAAGAGATTTGACGAGAAGGAATTAAGGTTTAGCACATAAAGGAATTAATGTATTGTTCTTAAAATTTGGAAACTTAATGTTACAGGTCCAATGTTTTACAAGGGATGGTACCACTTCTTCTATCAGTACAACCCAAATGGTGCTGTGTGGGGTGATATTGCTTGGGGACATGCTGTTTCAAAGGATTTGATTCGCTGGTTTTACCTGCCCTTGGCTATGGTTCCTGATCAATGGTATGACATCAATGGCGTCTGGTCTGGATCTGCTACCATACTCCATGATGGCCAAATAGTTATGCTATATACTGGCTCAACAAATGAATCAGTTCAGGTGCAAAATCTGGCATACCCTGCTGATCTTTCTGATCCCCTCCTCATCAATTGGGTCAAGTATTCTAACAACCCAGTTCTGGTCCCTCCACCAGGCATTCATTTCAAGGATTTTCGTGATCCGACAACCGCTTGGTTGACGTTGGAAGGGAAATGGCGAATTACAGTAGGCTCTAAAGTTAACAAGACCGGCATATCTTTAGTGTACGACACTAATGACTTTATAAATTTTGAGCTTTTAGATTCAATCCTTCATGGTGTTCCCGGCACTGGCATGTGGGAGTGTGTGGACTTTTATCCTGTCTCAAAAACAAGCAATTATGGCTTGGACACGTCTTCCTATGGCCCAAAAGTCAAGCATGTGGTGAAAGCAAGCATGGATGATACCAGGAACGATCATTATGCTATAGGGACTTACTTTGAAGAAAACGGGACATGGGTTCCTGATTTTCCTGAGATTGATGTTGGAATTGGGCTTAGGTATGATTACGGGACATTCTATGCATCCAAGACTTTCTATGATCAGGACAAGCAAAGAAGAGTTTTATGGGGTTGGATTACAGAATCTGATAGCGAAGCTGCTGATGTGAAGAAAGGATGGGCTTCTGTTCAGGTATTTTAAATTTCTGACTTGAAGACAACATAGAAGTTCTTTATTCACTTAATTGGTTTCTGATAATTCAAGTTTGTATTATCTCACACAGAGCATTCCAAGGACATTGGTGCTTGATCAGCAAACAGGTACCAATCTACTCCAGTGGCCGGTTGAAGAGGTTGAGATTCTCAGATTAAGCAGCAAGGAATTTGTCGACATAAAAGTTGGTCCAGGTTCAGTGATTCCACTTGACATTGGCCCTGCAACACAGTTAGATATAGTGGCTGAATTTGAGGTAGATAAGGAGGCTTTAAATGGAACAGCCATGACCGAGGTTGGGTTCAGCTGCAGCGCGGGCGGAGGTGCTGCTCAACGCGGCGCTCTAGGGCCTTTCGGGATTCTAGTTCTTGCTGATGAGTCCCTCTCAGAGCAGACTCCTGTATATTTCTATGTTTCCAAGGGAAGTGATGGCAGCTTCAAGACTTTCTTCTGCACTGATACATTAAGGTAAGTGAAAAATCTTCTGCTCTTTCTTTGACTAACAATTCTGAAAAGAAAAGCATCTGATTCTTTGATGGGTTATCTTTTTTCAAGGTCCTCATTGGCAACTGATGTGAACAAACTTGTTCATTGGAGCTTTGTCCCAGTTCTCGAAGGAGAAAAACTATCTTTAAGAATATTGGTGAGTTTAGCCTCAGTTAATTTGTCTTTTTTGTTTTAGTTTTGGATTTTGGGTTAAGTTAAATTTTAAATGTGAATTCAGGTGGATCATTCAATAGTTGAAAGCTTTGCGCAAGGAGGAAGATCTGCCATTACAGCTAGGGTTTATCCAACAAAGGCCATTTATGGAGCTGCTAAAATTTTCTTGTTTAACAATGCTACGGATGCCAAGATTAATGCCTCACTCAAGATATGGCAAATGAATTCTGCCTTCAACAGACCTTACCATGATGATGATGATGATTCAGACCTATCAAGCCAACCCCATATCCCAAACCACTACTTTTCATAAATTTCTCCATCTTGTTAAGTTGTTGATCTCCCCTGTCTTTCGCCTCTTCTGATCCTTCTCAAATTTATTCTTCTTTCCTTTATATATTATTATTTTTTTGTGCATGTATAGTTTGTTAGGGATTCATTTGGTAAAGTCCTTTGTACATTACCTTTAAATTCATTATAGTAGTAAACAACA